TTGCTTTTTAAGATAAGAACTCTCCACCTGTTTATGATTACCTACAAAAAAAACCCAAAGTAAGGAGGTTCACATGTTAAAACTTATACTTATTGTAAGATTATGAAGGTACAAAAAAAAACTTACTTTCAACATTCTTATTAACACCGACAGATCTGTAACTTTTATCTTCTTGAACATGAGATATTTGAGAATCATTTTTTACAGATGAGTCGACAGAAACAGCAGCATCAGATACATTGGTATTGAGTAAAGAATCCACAAAACCAGCCCTTCTGTCTACTTCATTGTTTTTCACATCTCCTGATAAGTCCCCTGCAGGTTTTTGAAAAAATTATGGTAAAAGAAATAAATAACTCTAAAGTTCCTATTTATTTACCTTCCAGCCATCGTAAAACAAGTGTGGCATATGGATCTGACATCATCAAGTGAACAGGTATGTCAGGAAAGAGCTGATATAAAGCAAATGCAGCAACCCTGTTTTGTGCATCCTAGAACAGAAAATATCAGAAATGTGGACAAATAATATTGCTTGTCAATTAAAAGTCATGCTTTAAAATATACCTCTGCAGTTTCAAATGTTTCTCCAGGAGTAGGTAGTTGAAGGGTAGTAAGTCCTCCAACTTTCCTGTTTTTACCCCTCCCACTAGCTTTACGTATCACACTAACTGTATAACTACTTCCACCTCCTGTGCTTTGTACTTTATTATACTTTGGTGCCTCCCATCCAGATCTTTGACAAAGCTGGTGAAGAATGGCTTTAGGAATCTTTAGTGGGTCCCCCTATATTTGTAAACAAACATCATAAGAAAGAAGGTAAATAGATATAGATATAAACAAACACTCTCAATAGACATATGAAGCAATTGTTACCTTCTTCCAGATTCCCTCTAACTTTTCCAAGTTTTTTTCACTGGTCAACTCCTTCATCTTCTCCTTCTTCTGCAGCTCCGCAATCCTGGTGTCCAAAACTTGACCAGATGATGAATCTTCTAGAAACATATCACCAAGCTCAATATCTCCAGAGTCATCATCCACAACAGCTCCATCATGGCTGGGAACATTTACTGAAATACCCTTGGTTGAGACATCTTCTGAACAACTCTCTGAAACAGCTCCATTATCTTTCAAGTCTATTTGCTCAATAGAAGAACACGTGTCACCATCTTTCTCACATACACTAGCATCAAGATTTTTGGACTCGTGAGAAGATTCCTCAATGACACGATAGCGACTCTCAAACTCTGCAGCCAAGGTATCAACAGATATACCTGCAGAAAATTTTCACAAAATGTAATTTCTACAGAGAAATGAAGTTAGAAGACATGCATTGTGAGCTCATGCTAACCTAAATCAGCCAACTCTTGCTTAAGTTTACGAATTATTTGACCAGACTGCTGCTGACCATTCTTATCCCCTTTTTCTTTGGCATTTATTGCTTGTAGCCGAGCACTATGATATTCCTCACGGATAGAATCATAGTTTCTTGGCTCTGAGATCTACAAAGAGAAATCAATATAAAATAGATATATACATGCCAATATATATACCATCAATAATACCTTATCGACCACAGCATCTTCCCAAGATTCGTATTCATCCTACAATAGTATGCAAGATGAATGAGTCATGAGCAATCATGCAAAATATAAGGTTAATGTCCTATAGTACCCTGATTGAGTACCTCTTCTTGTTGCTCCATATACTGACGAATCCAATCTGCTTGAGACTTCTGGAAAGAATCCAATGAATCAACTTTCTTCTGCCCCTTACTCTTGATTGATATTTCTGGCATTTCATTTTCAGCTGCAACTGATGATTCCTCCAAAGGGGTCCAATCATGTCGTGCAGTTGATATGATGCCGACAGAACCACCTGTTGTGTCAATAGAGGACAAGAGTGTATAATAGTTGTTTTCACTAAGGCAATCTGATTTGAAGAACAAGAGTAGCAACAAATATATATAATAGAGTACATGATAAATCGCTTTGTGCATACCCTCATCTGGAAGAACTGCACTGCTACTGCGAAACTTCAATGGCAACTCATTTGGTGATAAAATCAAGCATAGCCAGTCTAAAGCAGCCTCAAAAGTAGCACTTTCCTTTTCAACAAATAAAAGGGGAACAAATCAGACTAGTCTTCTGATACGTTGAAAGAAACAGAGAAATGTGCACTATCAGAAACTTTACGAAGCTAAACCTCCCAAATTCATTTGCTCCTAGAGTGAAAACCTAGTGCTTTTCAAATGCAAAACTGAAATGGAATTTGTTGCTCACTCAACATTTTCCTATTCCTGGTAGTACTGGCAGTTAAATTCGGTGTAGTTACATCCTACTTTCTGTGAAACCTCCGTAACCAGTTGAGAGATAAAGTTAGTTGACTGAGATTAGTTGAAGACCTTAAGATGAGAGAGAGCACGTTCGATATGATCATCAGTGAAACCTTCGCAAGAGAGCTTCTCATAAACAGAGTACAGTTTTTTGGCCTTCTGCGCCTTGGTAAGGCTAGAATCTTCATGAACCGGAGCCGGCGTCGAACGACCAGAGTTAAGTAAAAGCCGTCGCAGCCGGTTTTCGTTCTCTGCCGATATTTGGAGTTTGGGACCGGTAGAAGACTGAGGCTTGCTTTTGGATGAGGTAGATGACGATGAAGAAGCTGACCTCCGCTGCTGCTGCTGCTTCTTCTTCGGAGCCATGTCTGTGTGTGATAGAGAACTCGTCGGAGAGTTAAGGGGTCGCCGGAGGGACTCGCCGTGATTAGTGCTATTACGCAACTAGCAATGGGCCTATCGGGCTTTAAAATGAACCGAACTGACCGAATAGACCTGATATGGACTGTTGAGTCTGGATTTAGTGCTGGTGCTAAACTCGATAGACGATATGTATTCGGTATTAGTTCGGGTTAAATCGGTTTGATGAATAATGTATCTTTAGTTTAGGGCTTCAAGTATCGGTGCCCCATTTTCAATCTAGCCTTTGTTTGTGTGAGATATCCGATTGAGTCACAGTCCGGTCAATTAAGGGTGTGTCGGGCGTAGGCGGCCACACACAGTCCACGTCACAAGGGCCCATGTTTTATACAATACATGTATGTGTATATATATATATATATATATATATATATATATATATAAATATTTAGATGATTATTTAACTCTAATGTTACAAAAATACTTAGTGGTTTGGCAATGATAACTATTAAGAACGACGTATTACATAGTATTAATTGTATGTGACGAACTTTGTTTCAAAAAATGTTAAAAAACCTCATAAATTTATGTAACTATCTAAGATTATATATTGTATCATCGAAAAACTTATCCATTTTTACTTGTTAACTTACAAGCTCTTACATAGAGCTTTTTTTTAACAACCATTTATATAAAAACGAGACTAGTCAGGAGCTAGAGAAAAAAAACAATTACATGGAAATAGCTCTTATATAGAGCTTTTTTACAATTATATTAATATTTAATTGATTTGTATAGTTTTTCTATTTTATAGGACCCATAAATAAATTTTACGAAAAAATTTTCATATAGTTGACATATCATGAACTTTTCGAGTTGTGATTAAAGTTTAGTGAAAAAGTTTTCAGATGGTGCATGCTCTATTTAGTTTTCCTAAGGTGAAAATGTTTTTCTATGGCGCATGCTCTATTTAATGAAAAAGTTTTCTTACTGTGCATGCTCTATTTAATGAAAAAGTTTTCTTATACTGCATGCTCTATTTAGTTTAAAAAATTTGTTTATTAGAAAAAAATACATAAAAACATATTTTTTATTAAAACCATCATAGTTCGAAAAAAAAAATCCATGGTGACCCCTTTATTGTCAGTTCAGCAGGTTAAGTCTAACCGGTTTCTAATTTCACTATAATAACATTTTTTGTAACTTTTCGTTTTTATGAGGGTTTTTTTGTAAAAAGTTGTTAAAAAACGGAATTTTGTTCCATTTTTAGTTTTTCCATTGAAGTCACACCTGACCTATATTGCCGGTTCAACAACTCATCATATTATGATAATTTGACATTTTTTAAACTAAATACATCTAACTTTAAAACATTTTCTAATTTCAACAAGTAACAGTTTTTTGTATATTTTTATCTATTATAAGACGGTTTTTTTTAGAAAAAAAAATGTTTTTTCTATATTTTTGTCTTTTGTATTTTAATGAAGAATTCATGGAACAACAATGTCGATGGTTTGTGACATTGAGTTTTTAGTGCCATCAGCCACAAGTATTAATAAATATACCTATCACATTGTGATTTTCCTGTGTTTCTAACTTTAACAAAAAAAAATGAAAAAAGATGCAACAAAATACCATCCTTAACAAAAAAAAATAGAAAACAAAAATCATCTTTAATAAAAACAATAAAAAAAAATAATAATAAAAGATGTTATTGTAGTTATATAGAAGATATGTTAAAGTGGGTGGCTTTAGTGAAAAAATTATTACTTATCATGTCAAGATGGTGAACCTGGAAAAAAAAAAAATGTCACCATAGTCGTCATTGAAAAAAAATCACAGTATTTATGGTTGAATTTTTATAGAAATAGAGCGGCTAATTTAGTAAAACAAATAAATATAAGAATTTAAACAATGTACAAAACTATAAAACATTGTGTGTTTTCTTATGTATTTTGCATTTCTTAATTTTTGAAGAGCGGACCGTGGAGATTTAGACCATTTTTGGATGCTTTTAAATTTGCATTTTAACCATTTTTCTATATTTTTAAGTAACATGATTTAGAAAAAATTGTGAAGCAAGTTCACATGTACTTTTAGTTTAAACATGGATTAAATGAACAAGCTAAAGTTGTTGAGAAGTCCATGTCCTTGAAACTCCAAAATCCATTGAAACCACACTATCTCAACAACATTCACAGTAGAACCACCTTGATGTGAAGTGCAAGCAAAGATAAGATAACCCCACCTCCCATGCACCCCCATCAAAACCAACATTCTCATTCAACTCCCTTTCCAAATTACCACCATGGATCAAACCCAAACCCTACCAGAAAACCCACCACCACCACCACCGGTGGACAACATCCACCACTCACCTGTAGACAACTCCCGCCCTTTCCGCTCAGTAAAGGAAGCTGTAGCTGTCTTTGGAGAACGGTTTCTAGCAACAGAAGTACTCTACTCATCACCATCATCAAAACCTTTCACCTTACCCAAACAAGAAACTCCAATTTGGAAATCTACACCAAATTCTGATCAAACCTTATGGAAATCACCAGAAAATGAAGAAAACCCATCTCCCACACTCATGACCACGCTCAAGAAACTGGAGTCAGAGCTTGAAGAAACCAAGAGAGAGTTGAACATATTGAAGGAGAGAGAATCTGAGACGGAGGTGGCTTTGGCTTCTTTGAATGCTGAGCTCCATAAGAACATGTCCAAGATAGCAAAAGCTGAGGCGGAGGTGGCCGGAAAAGCGGTGGCGGCAATGCGAACTTCCACCACTTTAGGCCAAGTGCTTAATAGTGGTGGTGAGAGAGAGAAGGGTGGAGAGAGAAAGTACGTGAAGGAGAGAAAAGTGATGAAGAAAAAGAAGCCTGTGGTTCCATTGGTGACTGATTTGTTTACAAGGAAGAACAATGGGAAGGGTAAGAATTCGTTTCGGAGTCCATTCTATTCATCGTCCCCGATGTATAATTGGAATTAAGAAATTAAAGAAAAAGTTTCATGCATGCACGTATATATATGCATTAATTAATGCATATGCATGGATGGATTATAAGTCATGTAAGAGTGAAATTGATTCCCTTTATCAATCTATATGATCAAGTGTTCTTAAGTGGGTTCGTTTAATTTGTTTAAAAAGGTTAAACAGATACTAGCAATGAAGCACAAATCAGATACTACGTATATTCTATCTCGATCTGTGGTTAAATTATTAATATTTTAAATTATTAAACATTAAAATAAAAGGTTCAACACCAAATAAAAAACACAATCTCAATCACAAGAAAAAAAGTCTGCAAACACAAGGATCGAAAAGAGTACACACACTCAAGACACTGAAATCTACCAACAAGTGCTTTTACAAAAAGTGATAAACCTTAACCTTAAAGACCGAGTTTTGAAAGAAGTTGACGCCATCTTGGAGTTTCTTCATCAAAAATGTAGGTCAAAGGAGACACCAGAACACCACTTCCTCCAATCTGTATGTCATATCATATGATATCAATATCATATTAGTTAATAAACGTACTTCCATTGATTTGTTTATTAATTATTATAGCATCCTACTTTTATTTCTTCCTATCACAACAACACTCTACCTTGAAAGATATTTCAAAGTACAATGCCTTGATAAGAAGAAAAAAATATGTTGTTATAGGAAGAAATGGAGGTAGGATACTATTCTGAACAGATAATGAAAGTAGATAGAAAATAATAAAAAAAGCTGTGAGGAAATCTTACAGCTCTTAGCTGCTGAACGGATTTGTAGAGTTGCTTTTTGGAGACACAAATGACAATTGCGTAATAATCAGCTTTTACCTTCCCGTCAATTTTGCGGAAAACTGGACTTATTGTAGGTCCCTGCCATATACACATGGGGTAAATAAAAAGTATGTAACTTTTAGTTTCTATTTATTAATTATTATTATTTCACTTTTTGTAAATACAACTAAAGAAAGAATAAGAAAAACAAAAACAAAAACAAACCTGAAGTCCAGATAATGATGGTTGGCTCAGAATTCGCTCGGATACTTCCTCTGCACTGCTTCCCCTCATGTTGGCAACTACCTGCAACGTATATCACAGTGGCAACAAGGGTAAAATGGTCATTTACTCTCTCGTTCAATCCCCCAAAAAAAAAAAGACAAAGTCAACACTTCCACCGAAAAAAGTGTATAATAATCTATGTTACCGTGAATTGACCAAGTGCTCTTAAATGTGCCTCAAATCTTTCAAGAATTTCATGTGTGATGTCCAACAAACCTTTGCGCCCAAGTAGTGATTTCTTACTAGCAACAAGGACAGCCTAAAAAAAACACTTTTTACTCAGAAAAAAGAAGCAGATTTATAGATAAATAATTAAATAAAAACTTCACCTGACTTTCTAGAAGAACTCCGCCTTCAATTTCTTTGAGGTTGTTCTCTTTCAATGTGGTCCCGCTACTAACAAGATCCACAATAGCATCAGCTATCCCCATCTAAATAAGCAACACAAATAATGTTATCATTATAAATTTATAACATCATACACTGTTTAATAATATATATATATATATATATATATATATATATTTTTTTTTTGTTAGTTTTATAAAATAGAATGACTATTAGTTTAATCAAATTTGTGAAATTTTCGAAAATAATTGTGTCATCAATGTCTTACCGCAGGAGCTGCTTCCAGTGCCCCGTCAGCAGTTGAAAAAACAACATGCTGAAGCCCATTCTCTCTCAGAAACTTAGGACCCAACTACAAGAAAAAGAAAAAAAAAAAAAAACAATTTAAACTTTTTTGATTTGATTGATAATAGGAACACAGATTATATATAATAGAATGGTTGTTAGAATGATTACATATGTGAAACCAGTGGCAACTCTTAGAGGCTTTTCAGCAGTCCAGTGAGTCATCTGTGCTAGTTCCTTCACTGAATTAATTTTCTCAAAGATCCCATACTTTGGAATCTGTTAACAGCATGAGAAAAAGAAGCCACTTAAATATATATATATATATATATATATATATATATATATATATATATATATATTTTAACTGTAACTATTTTAATTTATTTTGGAAAAAGAGAAGTACTACTTACTGCAAGAGATAAACGACAATCTCCATATGCAAGTTCATCATGAACAAGGACTAGATCTTCATTTCCCTATCAAAAACAATTAAGAGATAAAACTTTACACAATGCTAAAGAAGAAAACAGAAAAACTTATACATAATAATAAGTCTATCTGGATTTATTATCTTTTACCATGTTACCCTTATGAGTTGGTAATAATTACAATTATACATAATTTCCAAATATATGGCTTAGAATTTTGAAAAATGTTAAGATTAGAAGGTACCCTTTGTTGAGGGGATATACCTTCTGTTTTCTTGTGAAATTGTTGATTTTAATGTAAATTTTGTTTTCAGATTTCAACTATGAAACCTTCTGGATTTCGTATTCAGATTACTTCTTTAAATTTTGTTGTTCTTGGGTTCACCTTTTCTGGAACAGATTCAGATAATATCCAGTAAACTGAATTTAGTTGGCAAATATCTAAAATCCAATCCTATTGCAACTGGAATTGGGATATTGTGTTGCTAATCAAATGTGGCTCATATTGGATATTATAAGCACAAATAAGAAAGCCTAATAAACATGAGAGTTGCATGATACATCAAAGTAATCAAAAGGACGCTCTACAAGTCACTAGATTTTCAAAGTAGATTACCCATCCAATGGTGGATAAATACTCTTGGGTGACTGATGAAATAACAGTCTTACTTCTGTGTCTAGAAAGTCCAGGACAAGATGCATAACTTCTGCTTGATGAAATTGGTTGCTTTATCAGCAAAATAGGAACAAGTATTACTTGCAATTTTACCCAATTTGTACTACATGCATCCTTACTTTCGCATAAGTATTAGTATTATATTACAAAACCACAAATTTGGCACTCAAATGTTTTGAGAAACATCTGAGTTGCTAAGCTGGAAACATAATAGTTCTGTGTGCAAAATATAATGTGATGTATGGTTCAAAAGAAACTAAGGATAGTGATGCTGCATGAAATGAACAGAGGATGCACTTATCAAACTAGGAAATGAGCTATAAATATACAGTATAATCTTTATATGGGGCTTCTTGATTCTTACCTGTCCAAATTCACTAACTGTGTCAAGACCAACAATACCAAGATCTAAATCTCCTGAAACCAGTTTCCGTACAATATCTTTTGGGCGCTGAAACCAGACTTCTACATTTGAAAGCTGCAAAACATACATAATTCAATTCTATCTGTTTTTCAACGGAGGTAGCCGAAGCTGTTTAGCAGAAACTACCAAAATTGGTCGGAAAAACTCACCTGAGGAATGTCTGCAACGTATTGCCGAGGATTAAGTTGCCTCACAGATAATTGACAATCCTGTCGCACATAATGCAAAATCAGATGACAAAATAAACACTGAAATCAAAACTTGGAAGAAATTAAATCAGTTGAAATTATTCCTTGTCTCAGGAATCACGAATAGAAAGAGTTACTTTGAGAAGATCAAGCGTATCGGTGGCCATTCGACCTTTACTCGGCAAACCTAATCTAATCTCATTCCTATCTGAGGATTGCATGTCGATGTTTCCATTAACACTAGTCATCGGCGACGAGGATAAGCAACATGAGACGGTGAATCTGACGGAAAGTTTAGTAGACGAATGTGATGACGGAGAAGGAAGAAACTGTGAGAAAGCGGTGGTGGCGGCGGGACATTGCTGCAGAGATGTTTGAATAAGAGACATGGCCGCTTCCCTCTGACCTCTCTTTCTTCTTCCGACGAGATTTTGATGGAGCAGAGACAACAGCAACGCCGCCGGAAGGGGTAGGTGGTGAGTGAGGGGATTCAAATTTGCGGGTATGATTGTCTTCAACAGATGTTTTCCTGTGGTGGCTGCCTTGAGATTATAAATGGGTATTAACCGCAGTCAACTCAGACACTTCGTTACACATTGCCCTTGCAAGGTGCCAACAAGGCATCCATCTTTCTACAATTGTAATTTCAATGGCAATGCCACCTAAGTTTTATGTTCAATATTTTGTTACTATGTTTAACTATCAACTTATTCATTTTATTTTTTTTGTTATATTGACATGTTATTCTACCAATAGATCTAATTTGTTCCGTTAACAAGTTGTTATATTAATAGGTTTAGACATAGAGATAACCAAAATACTTATAGGTTATTTTTTTTGGGTGTTTGAGATTTCATAAAAACTCCTTTTTAATTTCTTGACAGTTGGACATGAATTCAATACATATCGATTGAAGGCAAACGGGCAACAAACTGCGCCGCTAGTCCTTTTTGGATGGCAAAACCTATTTTTTTGAAAACAACATTTGTGGATTTAGGAGATATGACATTAGAATGCATGACCCGTTGGACTCTGTTGAGGAGCTCCACCGCCTCTGGTGCAAGAAAACCAAATGTATCAAATGCAAAAGGAACAAACACATGTTGATTTTCTCTACATGCATTGTCGTGCTTTACCACTTTGCACGCAGCGGCTTTCAAAGCGGCATGCCCAGCTGTGAAACCTCCGCTCCCCAAACCAACGAGAGGAGATACACCAGTAAGATCCACGCACGCATGCTTCCCTCCTATCCATCCAAAGACCAAAATGTCAGTCGGTCTAAGTGTGGACCTGCCATCCTGCGGGTCCGTCAAAAAGTTCATTGGTGTTTCTTTCTTCACAGATATACCAGCACGCCGACAAGCATCAAAGAGAACATCCCGAACCACATCATGTCTATACTTGAAACCAGGGAGCTCTCTACAATGAACCGCGTGTTCCCCAAAGGTATCCAAACATGCCTTGCGACAAACTGGGCATATCTCGTCAATTGGGAATATGGGAATCATGAGGCGGTAACGAAGGATAGTTCGATACTCCACAGGAGACATATGTTGGCCAAGACCATCAATAGGGATAGTT